AATTTTGAAATTCGATATCTCAGCTCTGGAAGGGTCTAGAGCCTCCATTTTTGCACTCAGGTCAAAGTCTCACAGCCCTCTATCATAATCCAGAGTTTTGAGAAGATTGGAGGAACTTAATTTTTTGCCCAAAAACGAAAAAAAACAAAAGGGGTAACACTGTCGTTTTTTTTTCGGGTCGAAATTTTGAAATTCGATATCTCAGCTCAGGAAGGGTCTAGAGCCTCCATTTTTGCACTCAGGTCAAAGTCTCACAGCCCTCTATCATAATCCAGAGTTTTGAGAAGATTGGAGGAACTTAATTTTTCGCCCAAAAACGAAAAAAAACAAAAGGGGTAACACTGTCGTTTTTTTTTCGGGTCGAAATTTTGAAATTCGATATCTCAGCTCTGGAAGGGTCTAGAGCCTCCATTTTTTTCACTCAGGTCAAAGTCTCACAGCCCTCTATCATAATCCAGAGTTTTGAGAAGATTGGAGAAACTTAATTTTTCGCCCAAAAACGAAAAAAAAAACAAAAGGGGTAACACTGTCGTTTTTTTTTTCGGGTCGAAATTTTGAAATTCGATATCTCAGCTCTGGAAGGGTCTAGAGCCTCCATTTTTGCACTCAGGTCAAAGTCTCACAGCCCTCTATCATAATCCAGAGTTTTGAGAAGATTGGAGGAACTTAATTTTTCGCCCAAAAATGAAAAAAAACAAAAGGGGTAACACTGTCGTTTTTTTTCGGGTCGAAATTTTGAAATTCGATATCTCAGCTCTGGAAGGGTCTAGAGCCTCCATTTTTGCACTCAGGTCAAAGTCTCACAGCCCTCTATCATAATCCAGAGTTTTGAGAAGATTGGAGAAACTTATTTTTTCTTCCAAAAACGAAAAAAAAACAAAAGGGGTAACACTGTCGTTTTTTTTTCGGGTCGAAATTTTGAAATTCGATATCTCAGCTCTAAAAGGGTCTAGAGCGTCCATTTTTGCACTCAGGTCAAAGTCTCACAGCCCTCTATCATAATCCAGAGTTTTGAGAAGATTGGAGAAACTTAATTTTTCGCCCGAAAATGAAAAAAAAACGAAAGGGGTAACACTGTCGTTTTTTTTTCGGGTCGAAATTTTGAAATTCGATATCTCAGCTCTGGAAGGGTCTAGAGCCTCCATTTTTGCACTCAGGTCAAAGTCTCACAGCCCTCTATCATAATCCAGAGTTTTGAGAAGATTGGTGAAACTTAATTTTTCGCCCGAAAACTACTGTCGTTTTTTTTTTCGGGTCGAAATTTTTAGTTTCTCTGATCTTCTTGAAACTCTGGATTCTGATAGAGGGCCATGAGACTTAGACCTGAGTGCAAAAATTGAGGCTCTAGAACCTTCCAGAGCTGAGATATCAAAACTCAAAATTTTGACCCGAAAAAAAAAAACGAAAGGGGTACGTTAGTACACTGTCGTTTTTTTTTCGAGTCGAAATTTTGAGTTTCTCTGAACTTCTTGAAACTCTAGATTCTTATAGAGGTCCTTGGGACTTAGATTTGAGTGCAAAAATGGAGTCTCTAGACCCTTCCAGAGCTGAGATATTGAGCTGTTAAAAAAACCCACTATTTTTTAAACGTACTAACCCCAGCGTTCATGCAATAAGTTGCAAATGGACACAATCCCGCCTGCAATCTATTGAATGGGGATTTGAATAGTGTATTTTTTGGACATTAAATAAAATTTCTTTCATGATAAAAACTATTTTACTGCATCAGCTGGGGCCTCTTAGTCTGTAGCACCAAGTGCCATCCCATAATTACACCGTCCACAAACCCACTATTTTTATAATGGCATAAATTCTACGTAGGATCTCAATATCTCAGATCTGGAAGGGTCTAGAGCCTCCATTTTTGCACTCAGGTCTAAGTCTCATGGCCCTCTATCAGAATCCAGAGGTTTGAGAAGATTGGAGAAACTTAATTTCTCGCTCCCGAAAAAAAATGACAGGGCTACATAGGCCTACCCCTTATAGTTTTTTTGGGCCGAAATTTTGAGTTTCTCTGATCTTCTTGAAACTCTGGATTCTGATAGAGGGCCTTGGGACTTAGACTTAAGTGCAAAAATGGAGTCTCTAGACCCTTCCTGAGCTAAGATATTAAGATCCCACGTTGCATTTATCCCATTATAAAAATAGTGGGTTAATGGACAAATAGCGGGTTTGACTTTGGTTCATTGCAATTTCAAGGAGAACATACTGCTGTCGACATATGAATTTACACATGGTTTGTCTTAAAGCATATTAAAAACATCACATGGACATATAAACAACATTAAAAACTTGATTTTCACTTTAACAAGCAATATATATTTTTAAAACATTTTAAAACATATTAATCTGTTAGTTCATTCAATTCAATTCAATTCAATTCAATTCAATCTTTATTTATATAGCGCCATTACAACACCCAGAAAGGTGCACAAAGCGCTTTCCATAAAATACATAAAAAGATAACAGTATATAAAAATTGCAAGATAAAGCTAATCAAAGCAATCAACAAAATAACTAACACAACCACTAAAAACAAAACAAATGATTACGTGTTAAAAGCCTTCCTGAAAAGAAATGTTTTCAATTGTGATTTAAAAACACTAAACACAGTAATGTTACGTAGGGTAGCAGGTAAGGCATTCCATAAAGTAGGACCCTGGATGGCAAAAGAACAGCCTCCAAACTTTTTGTATCTACACTTGGGGATAATCAAAGAGGTGCTCTGAGAGGAGCGGAGGGTTCTGGCAGGTTGGTATATAGTGAGCAGCTCAGAGAGGTATGCCGGGGACAGACCATTAATGGCCTTAAAAACAAACATGAGGACCTTATACTCCACCCATAACGTACCGGGAGCCAATGAAGTGAACAGAGGACGGGGGTGATATGAGTATGTTTATGGACATTTGTAAGGAGACGGGCTGCTGCGTTTTGAACCATCTGAAGACGGTTGAGAAGAGATTGGTTAAGCCCAGTGTAGAGGGCATTACAGTAATCTAGCCTTGAGCTGATAAATGCATGAATGGCTCTTTCTAGATCAGCACGGGACAGGAATGATTTCACCTTACTGAGGAGCCTCAGCTGGAAAAAGCTAATCTTAACTACTGCACCAATCTGTTTGTCAAAATGCAATCTATTGTCAAGAGCAACACCCAGGTTACGTACAGTGGATGCAAACTGGGGCGTGAGAGGGCCAAAATTAAGAGAGCTACAAGGTGAGTCCGGGGTGAAAAGTATATACTCAGTCTTACCTTCATTCAAATGAAGAAAGTTTTGAGAGAGCCACCGTTTAATGTCCTGGATGCAGTTATGGATGGGATCTAATGCTGAATGATTATTCAAAACTACAGGAAGGTAGACTTGAAGGTCGTCAGTATAGAAATGAAACTGAACTTTGTGTTTAGAAATGAGTTGACCTAGTGGCAGCATATAAAGAGAGAACAGTAAAGGACCAAGAATAGAGCCCTGGGGCACACCAGATGATAAAGGGGCAGCTGAAGAGGAGAAGTCATCAATCATTACTGAGAAGTTCATGTTTACTAATGCAATAAATAATGAGACCTTATTGTAAAGGGTTACTTTAACACGTATTACTATTAAAAATCAAGGTTACATTAATCAAATGCATATTTGGACTAATACTATGCAAGTTTAGCTGTGGTGTATCATACAACCTCACTGACGTAGTTTTCACGCGTGTCCTGGTCTGGTTTACTTCAACAGAGAAAGAATCAGTGCCAACCATATCTGTCTGGCAGTGATGCATGATGGGCAATGCGTGGCATGGCTGTAGAAAACTGGAGCCAGAATATACAGACCAAAGCCTGACCACACCTGCCAATTAGGATCGAGTAACAGAACTGACGCAAAGTGCATGAAGAATCTGATCAAATCAGCAGTTCTAGGGCAGTTCCCTGTCTTAGACACAACACTCTTTCGACTAAATGGACTTTATCCGATCACAAGTTGCTATGGGGACTTTTGTACTCTGCAGAACACGAGTGTTTATTTCTATAAAAGGGAATAGCAGTCTTTCAGACATATGCTCTGCTCAAGATCAGACACTTCAATTTGAGTACGTATAACTTGAGTATTTACACAATGGAGTTAAGTTAGTCATTGCTCAGTCAAGAATTGACTCTTTTAACCTGAAGTTTGTTTTGAACGTTTTAGAGTAACACAATCCAACTGATGCCACAAAACATCACATAATTCATCACCTCCATTGCTAATACTTACTGAAGAGGATGCAAAGTGGAAAAGAAAGCCTATAAAATTGACTACCAGTTAACAAACAATATGCACGAGTAACGAGCGGGTTTGTGTGAGAAAACGAACAGTATTTATATCGTTTTTACCTCTCGCTACCACAGCCACAAAGCGCCCGCGCCCTCAGATCACTTGGACGTGGCTGTTGTTACAAGAGGTAAAAACGATATAAATACTGTTAGTTTTCTCACTCAAACCGCTCGTTTCGTGTCTTAGGCCATGAATGTGTACTTACATTTACGAGTCATTAAATCATGTTTAATTTGGACTTCTCTGTGCATGCTCTTTGAGGTGGTGACCATAGACCTCCATTATATGACTGACAGACAACAACGGTTTGACCTAAAAATATCAAAATTGAAACTACTGCGGAAACAAAGACACCTACATCTTGGATGCCCTTGAGGTAAGCTAAAACATATCAAAAATTGATCCCTTAATATCCCTTTAACAATCATGTGTAAACCTTTAAAGGAAGCCCACGTGAGTTCTGAGGTTGTTTATTGATGGTATAATTCTGTTGAAGCCACCCATTTGCAGGATTTCAACTTATTTTTTTTGATAATCATGTTTAACAGGGGAATTCGTGGTGTAAAACTACATAACCCATGATGCAGTACAAAATTCCACCAATCAGAGAAACATGGCAAGCCAAAGACATTGCAGGGACATCCAAAATGTCTGCAAAGACGTCCTCTATGACGTATACACATAAGAATTTAACAACTCCATTTGCAGCTTAGCTGGTGTCTTAGATTTATTTATTTCTAAACGAAACAGTTCAACACGCTCTGAAACAACTCGAGCACATGTCAGTGTCTTTACAGACAAATAGAGGAAGACCTCCTTGAAATGAATCAATTCAGTTTAAAATGTTTAATGGACATGTTTGAATGGTTTATATTAGAAGAATTATACTAGATCTATTATCCTGTCCAGCAGGATATACAGTCATCCAATAGGAACATTCCAATCCTTGCACATAAATCAGAATCATCCAATGAGCAGAAACGGTTTAGTGATTTCATACTCTCCAATGAGCATGTTCTAATATTGAAATAAATCTGATTATTATAACAATAATTTAAAATAAGCTTGAAGGCGTTTGATTTTCCAGATCGTTGGTTAATATGCACACAGTCTCCTCCCGACAGAGTTCAATTCAAATTATGGAAAGATTGAACAAGCAAATAATGGCTTAAAGATTTCCTGATGAGTTTAGACATCCTAATGAAACCATTCCAACGTTTACGTCAGCCTTTGTCTATCTACAAGTTGTACTTGTTTGAAACTGTAGGTTTCAATGAAAAAGTAAGCTTAAAAACACAGTGCTCAGTCATCATGTATATTACCGGAGAAAGCCACTGCAATAAGTGTCACCAAAAGAAAGAAGAGTTCTTTTTTCTTTTTTTGTTGCATATTTTGTATCATCCACTGAATGTAAATTACATATGCACGTTTGTATGACATAAAACGCATTTAAATACTGATCAGAGCACTAGGCACGTGCGCAAGGTATTATTGAATTCAAATGAGAAAATAGTCAGATTCATGGATTATTTCAGGTCTACACCACCCATGTCATTCAGATCGAGCTCATTCGGACTGATCGAGGTGTTTATGTGAAGGATATGAGCAATCACTGGGGGGATCATGTCCGCGTGTGCTTAAGTCTGGCAGCTTTGAGTATTGCTGGTTGTGAGATTTCATACTGATCAATCAACTGTATGAAATCATTTCCAAATGATTATGTTCACGTGTCTGTAACCTCCAAGGGAAATCTCCATCCAGATTGGAGTTTGCTATAGTGTGATAAGTTACTTTTTCTGGCCCTCTTGTCCACCGTTTTTGTCTGGAATCAGCAGGGGTTTGGTTCTACTTAGCTCCATACATCCTCTCAATGTCGTCCTGGTAGTGAGTTTTTAGCTCCTTTCGCTTGAGTTTAAAAGCGTCTGTGACCAGGCCGGTCTCTGGAGTCCAGGGCTCAATGCTCAAGCAGATCTTCCGGGGAATCTCAAATCTTTCTAACTGGGCTGTTAAATACACAGGAACAGGAAATGAATCGTAAGCACAGCTGAAATAAGTGGTGAAACAAGAGGCACAACAAATGACTTTGTGCAGGACATAAAAGTTCATCTATAGCATGGGTTCCCAAACTTTTTTGTCAGCCGAACCCCTTAGATGTGAAATATTTACTTAATTCGGATCGGATCAGCACAGAATGGAAGAGTTAAGCAAAGAGAGTTTGGCGAAAACTTTCAAATGGACTCAAACCTCTTTTTAGTTGTGATAATGTCTCAGTCCATATAAGATGTGGATATATTTTAACTAGTTATAAAAATGAAGACAAGAATATATTACTTTTGTAAATTGTAATGTATATTTAATAATTACAAACACTACAACACTAATATTTATACTGTATATTAAAATCTTTACTTTAAAATGCTCCTGAAATGCTGGAAGCTTCTGTCCACAAAAAAGTAGGAAATTATGCAAACGTCGTAGCCCTCAAACCGTATCCTGTAATTGTGGACAAATGTGGGCACAGAGGACGCAGGTGTGATCCTAATTTTTTATTTATTATAAATGTTATATCACTGTCTTCGATAAAGTTTTGTCTATCCATTTATGGTGTTTTTTTATTTGGGGGGTATTTTTGAGTTTATGTACTTCAAAAAGTACCATATTTTCTATGTAAATTATGCTTATTTTTAGGTTTTATTTTTTAATTTTTTAAAATATCATTCCAATAAGTTCTTAGAGCTAAAACCTAAAGATGGAGTGACTTTGCTGTCACCTGGTGTCTTATTTTGGCTTATTTTAGAATGCTCTAAATTACAGTCTTTCCCATTCATTACTATGGGTGCCCATTTTTGACCCACATACAAGATTAAGGAGCTTTTTTTTTTTTTGAATGAATGAATGATTCAATGACTCAGTCATCAATATTTCACCTGTTTCATTACTGGATGAATCAGCATTTTTGAATGAGTCTTGAATGATTCAATGACAAATACATATTTTTATCAGTCATTCGTTATTTTGGAAACGCCAAGTTTCTTTCAAAAAGTGATTTGCTTTATTGTGATGAGTTTGCAGAGCAAACACAGATTTGAATGTTATTCTGTGAAAAAAAAAATCACCTTTTGAATCGAGATTGCGACCTTTTAAAAATTAAACATGTAGCTCTACTGCATTCTTAGAGAAACTTGCATTCTGTGCACAGTAAACATGTTACATACTACAGAAATAGTATGAGTAGTGTGATAGTATTCCAGGGACCCATTCACCTGTCAGTGCTGCTTCTGTGATGACTTTAAGCACCTCCTCCTCGATGACAGGGTTGTTACAAAGCTCCTCCCACAAACCTCTGATACACTTCCTCTCAGCCAGCGCCAGGAGCTGCTTCTTATTGGGCACCACAAAGCCAATCACGTAAGACTCGTCACTGAGAAAAGGGAAGAAGGAGGATTAAAATTATTTGTGGGTGTATTTAGGAGTGTTGACTATCAAAGTGTCAATGTGTTTTAGTTAGTGTTGGGCGATGTGATTTCATTTCATGGAATTGATATACATCACAATATAGTTATTTTTATTTTATTTCATATTTATGAACAACAACATCACATACAATTTAAAAAATACGAATGACTGAACTGTGCTTTAAGTACCTTTTCAGGTACAGTGGGTCTATTTAACAGTTGCATAATACATAAATTAAATAATTGTGGAATGTTTTAACATCATAATTATTACTGAACAGAATTTAATCAGCATTGAAGTGACTCAAAGTGAATAATGACACTATTGTCCTCTGTAGAGCTCCTTATACGGATTATGAACTAATTTCATACTTGATGAACTTTATACAGTTTCTGAACTGAATCAACACTATTGTCTTTTTTAGAGCTGCTTTACTACAGAATTTGAATTGATCTCAAATTTGATATGCGTTATTGATCATTATTTTTGCTGTTCATCCCAGTAAAGCTGCTTTGAATCAATCTGCATTTCATAAAAGTGCTTTATAAGTAAAGGTGACTTGACATGATTACTGACTTACATTATTTATAAATGATGTTACAGAATTCGTATTAAAATGCCACTATATACACTGCCTGTTGTTTGGATTTAAATGGATATAAAGGCAAATGCTTAAAAGTTACATGCCCCTTTTCACAAGATGTAATATAAATCTATGGTGTCTCCAGAATGTTTCTGTGAAATTTCAACTCAAAATACCCCCCACATAATGTCTTATAACTTGTCAAATTTGCCCCTTTTTAGGTGTGAGCAAAAATGTTCGTCATGTTTAACTTTTACCCAATTTGACAGTTCCATGAGGTCTTTATAAGACAGCTGTGACATTTTTGGTCAAATAGTGTTTGACAGAACAGTTTGCATGCATCATCAAAAAATAAGCCAATCAGATTTCATTCCCCTTCCTACATCAGAAGGGGAATGAAATCTGATTGGCTTATTTTTTGACATGCTTGCAGAGAAAGGCTGACCAAAAGAAAGTTACTAGGCTGTCACTTTTCACATTTTCTGGCTTGGTAGATGCACCGGGGACCCGATTATAACACTTAAGCACGGAAAAAGTAAAATGTTCATGATATGTCCCCTTTAAGAGTCTATGAATGATTGTAACTGTAGAAGAACCAGATGACTTTCTAAGGCATTTGTTAGTACAGGTTTTACATTGTGTTGGCACCTGTTGGCATAGGCACAGATGTTGTCGACGAGTGGGCAGTTTTTCAGGACGGCCTCCACTTTTCCCAGAGACACATATTCTCCTGCTTGAAGCTTCACCAGGTCTTTCTTACGGTCTTAATATAAACACACACACACACACACATGCAAATATTAAGCAGATTTGATCTGATATGTATGCAAGTGAACTACAGGAAGTTCTCCTTTCTCTCCCTTTTGGAGTGTATCCTGCTTTCTTTGAGTTCTTATCACTGCCTTTATGGGAATATGTTGACAGTGAGATGTGTCATTTACAGGAAGAACAGGACTAAAGCGTTTTAACGTAAAAACAGAGGGGATTTCCATTCGCCGACTCCTGCCAAAACAATCTTTATGATGTTCTGGATAATCTCTCTTTGTCGCTCTCTTACCGATAATCTTCAGACAGCCATCTCCATGAAACTCTCCGATGTCTCCAGTGCAGAACCACCGCTGGCCTTTCTTATCCACGAAGAAGTCCTCACAGTTCTTGTTTTTGTTCTTGTAGTAGCCCATTGTTACGTTTGGCCCACCGACGAGAATCTCTCCTCGCGGGCAGGGCCGGTCTGTGCTGCGATAGCCACCTGGATACATACATACATGATGCATTATGATGACAAAAAAAGAGCGATTGTATAAACTGTATAAAGCGCAACAGAAGAATTCTTTCAAAATCTCCAGAGTGAGACTGAAGACAGACCTAACATGGGTTCAGAGGTTGTTTAGCCAAAAGTCAATGTTATTTTAGTCTCGTGTAGCCAAACGTTTGACAAATTGACAAAGTTTAGTCCACATTGCAGCTTACTTTGGCCAAGAACAGTCCACTTAGACAGGAAGAGACCATCTGGCTGACAAATAAAGGGACCAATCACAGTTTTTCTTGCCAATTTATGGGCGGTTTCCATGAACAGGTCTAGTTAAAACACTGAAAATCGTCAGAAAGTGTGTATCGACACTTCTGGTCTTCGGGGTCAATAAGACCCCACGTTGAAATGAATGGGAAATGTGAAAAAAATAAAATAAAATCCGCCATAAATCAGAACATTTTTACACAGAAATGAAGGCCTAGTACTAGAGCATAAATGCAATGTATCATAAAAAAATAATATTTCATATGCAAGCTAATGGTGTAGTTGAGGACTTGTATGGTATATGGATACAAAATACTTTATATCTTCAAAAACACAGCATTAATGAACAGATGAGAAGTAAACAATATATATATATATATATATATATATATGAAGAGTTCAGATGCAAAAGCCTCTAAATGCCATTTGAAATTTTCTTCTTTAATGATGATTTTTATCAAACTTGTATATTTAAGTTCAGTAATGAAATTTCTGAACTTAAATATACAAGTTTGATAAAAATCATCATTAAAGAAGAAAATTTCAAATGGCATTTAGAGGCTTTTGCATCTGAACTCTTCATATATATATATTATTTGTATGATTAAAAATGTATATTTTTTGTACAATTACTCAATCAATTGTTGGGTTCATATAGACAGCGAAGCCCCAAAGTGTAACAGGAAACGAAGACCATTTGAAGGTTAATATAAGTTTAAACTAATACTTTTTTATTGAAGGGCAATTAACGATTACACTTTATTTTAAGGTGTCAGTGTTACAGTGTTCATGTATGTACTTCGTGTATGGATTTACTATAGGGTTAAGATTAGGGTCTGCTTTAGGGTTAGATGCATGTAAAAACAATACATTGCAGTTTCTGAAAACAGAACATTCAGTAAGTATAATATACATGATAGTCTGCAGTCTGTTTTGTTTTGGCCGGTTGCAGTTTCTTTTCTTTCTTTTTTTTTTTTGTAGCCACTGCAAAGTCCAAACGAAGTCTTTTGCATTTTACAGCGAGTGAATCTCCAGTTGTTCCTGATGATTGTCGTTTGAGCCTTTCTGGATCCGCCAACACAAACTGAATGTTTTTCAAAGAATTGAACATACTACTCTGACAAACTTTGGCAAATCCAGCTCCACCAATCAGAGAAGTCGCTTGGCTATCATGGAAATGGGTAACACAGTAATCTCCAAAGTGATACTGCAAGCAAGCGAAGACTGCCTATATACCGTTATCTAATGTTTTGTGAGGCCTTAGTGTTAAAGCATATAAGTGTAACCACCTAATCCCTATGACGAATGGCCTTTCATTCTTATAACTTTAATAATGCTGCCATTATAAAAGGTTTTGGCCTGTATTTTTATGTAATGAATTTGAACTGTTTATAGTAATTTAATGCATTGTCAAATAAAAACTTTTGGTTACTGTGTATCATTTACAGAACACAGCTGAGCTGATCGGTCCAGAAATAGCCGCTCGAAGTGTCTTCCTTACAAGGCCACAAAATGACCATAAATACTTTTTCCCACTTCCTTCTCTTTTGTTCTGCTGCTATATTGCTCATCATTCTCTCGAGGTAACAAACCACAAGACGTATCTCTTGATGGATAGGTAAACGTCCATGACAGTGTTTTTATAAGAGCAGATAAATGTGTGTGTGTATATCGCACTCACCCTCTATCCAGTCCTTAAGCTGAATTTCACAGCAAACCAATGGTGCACCAACTCGTCCTGTACTGTAATCCCAAACTACACAAACACACAGACAATAAGATCACATAAAACATCTACATTGGCTGTAAGGGCACAGTTATATAATTATTTCCATTGCAGAAAAAAATATGACTAAATGTGACTTCGATAAAAAAAAAAAAGACATATTTCAGGAGTCACCAGCTGCGTTGACTGTTCCACCATAGATTCATCTTAGGAACACAACCATCAACCATTTAAGGCAACTGTCTTCCACAAATGTTCATGTTAACGTTTTTAAGGAACAGGATATAGAGTTAGAGACCTAGTTTCATTTGGCTGGACTTTTGTAAATATAATTTTCTCATTAATTCACAATTACGGTTATTTTGAGTATGCAGAATCTGTTTATGTATTAAAGAGATCATAACATGATTTGTTTGGACTCTGAGGTCCACTTATGATGTCAGTCATGTATGTAACCCATTTATTCAATAGACCATTTTCTATTGATTTGAACGGGTCAATATAGTTTTGCTCGTATTACTTATGTTGTAAAAATGTGAGCTTTATAGCAACGGTGTATGAGAGTATATTTTCCATCATATGAACCATTGAACTGTTACAATATTCATGTTTGTGTGTTTTTAACACTAGTTATATTTACATACGGTGAAGTTTGGGGTTGCTAAGGTTTTTTTCCTCTCTCTTTTTTTTTAAAGAAGTCTCTAACTAATCAAAGCTGCATTTATTTTTAATGGATTTTTAGTTCGTATTGCATTATTATCATGTGTTTCCTTCTGTTGTCATGGTTACTCATTGATACACTGATTTCTCACACCTGATCCTTGTTTTGTTTATTAGTTTCCTTGGTATATAATGACTGTTCATTGTCTGGTATTGTTTGTGTTAACTCTCGCGTTTGCCTTCATTGTATCTTTGTTTTGTTTAGTACATTTAATTTAATTGTGCAGCAAATTAGATTGTCTGTGCCTCATCTGGTCTTCTTCCTGACCACCACCTGTGTGTCACTGTCAATGTCAATTTTCAGAATACTACAGTCTTTAGTGTCACATGATCCTTCAAAATCATTCTAATATGATGATTTGCTGCTCAAGAAACACTTCTGATTATTATCAATGTTGAAAAAAGTGCTGCTTAATATTGTTGAAACTGGGATTTGTTCAAAAGAACAGTGTTTATTTGAAACGAAAAATTGTCTTTACTGATGCTTTTGATCAATTTAATGCATCCTTGCTGAATAAAAGTATGAATGTCCTTTTAAAAAAATTTCTTAATGACCCCAAACATTTAAAGGTAGTAGTGTAGGTTATGAAAATATGTACGTATTTGAAGTATAGTCATGAAATAACAGTGCCGACATTCGAGGTGTAAATCTCACGCTGGCTGATGGTCCCGGCGCCGCAGGTCTCTGTTAGGCCGTAGCCCTGACCCACAGGGCAGCAGAAGCAGATGTTCATGAACCGCTGGGTTGCCGCAGAGAGAGGTGCACCACCTGACAATAACACTCGTAAACGTCCACCTAACAACGCCCGAACCTTCCGGAAGACCAGCCTGGAGAGAGAAGAAAGATTTGGCTTTGATGGTATATACTATATTGAGGACATGCGTGTAAGATGTGTCGAGTTTCTGTATGTGTGTGTGTGAGGGATGTCTGTGACTTCGAGAACCGGTTTTGGGAAGTTACTAAAATTAGTATAGATATTCAATGATAATTATTAAGAATCGAATGCACCATCGCAGATGTCTTCTTTCTATCGAGTAGCATTGAGAAGACTAGAAGATTTTTTTAGGATATTTCAATGAACCGGTTAAAAAAATTGACTCAGTATTCCAAGAATAGTGAAATAAATATTTAGTCAAATCAGTGTTTCTCAACTGGTGGGTTGCAACCCAAAAGTGGTTCTGAGTAGTGATGAGGTGATCGAGTACTCGTTCGTTACAGCGACGATCGATCTTAAAAATTATGATTTTAGTCAGATGACTTTAAAAAATATATTTATCTCTTTTTCTGATTGGTTATTGCGGCGTTTGGGGGTCCTGAAGTCTGTGTGTGTGTATCCTAAAAAAGTGTGTCATAGCTTGATGACAATGGGGAAATGTGGGTCTCATCATGGCGAAACTAGTTGAGAACCACTGAGCCAAATAATGACTGATTCAATTATATAAGTTACAAGTTTTCAATTATAGTTTTATAACAATGTAAATATATGTGTTCAAGTTTCGAAACAAAAGCTTTACTGTAGTTTTAGTATTCGTGTGTGTGTGTTTGATGTACTTGTCACACAGTGGAGTGCTGTATCCCATCGCAAGCTGCTCCATCTTATAGTTGTAGGCCAGTAGAAACAGAGTCCTCTGAAACGTGCTCATTTCCTCCACCTTTAGCATTACATTCTTGTAGATTCGATCCATAATCTCCTACACACATGGACAGAGAAAATATATGCATATAAAAGCCACAGACATAACTGATGACCTCACTGAAACATGAAAGGGATTTCTATCTCTCTCTGATATTACATGAATGTCTTTGTTTCCGGACATTAATGTATTTTTAATTTAAAACGTTAATGCATATCACACTTGCAATGACCTGAAAACACTTCTTTTATGACACTCACATTTAAATTTCTAAAATTAAAATTATAATTTTTTGTGGGGCTTCTGAAATCCAAAATGTCTACTTTGTGTAACCCTCTCCCAGATCTGTCTCAATAGTCTTAATATTTAAAAAAAAGTAATAAAACGGAAAGAAAAATGTAAAACTAAAATCATTATATACAGAATAACATATTTAATATATATTAAATATAAAAGTTTAGAATTTTTTTATGCTAAATTATTATTACATTATTAATTTTTTAAAAAATTTTAAAATTTTGTCCACCAAACAAAAGTCATCGAGGTATAATCAACATGCAGGAGGCCATTCTGTGAAAAAAAAAACAGGAAATGACATCACAAAAGGACCCCTAGACTGTGGGCACAGAAGCAATGACCTCTTCTCACAGAGAGAGGAGGATAAGAAGTACCAAGTAGTACACATGTTAAAAACACTGTCAAAAAGTGAATATGAATATGGTAGTCATTCAGTACAATGGTAATAATACCATCTGATACAACCAAGGGAAGTGGACATGGATTCTAATTGAGTTACTGCTGACATTTTCCCATTTCACATTGTGATATGGGAGGGTGGAGAAGCCCTTTCTGATTTTTTTCTTCAATGCTCCCTTATGATTCGGATGTTCTCCCACTGCTGAGAGAGCCGTGTCAGCCGCTGTGTTTATGGAAGTTTGCTGTGCTGTGTCGTTATCAGTCCACAGGGACCCTCATATCCAACCACACCAAGACAGTGTGTGTGTGTATGTGTGTGTGTAAGTGAGTGTGCATTTACAATGTCCTCAGGCAAAGAAAATCTTGAAATTAAACATTATTAATTGTGTATCTACAGTGTGTGAGACACTACTTGTGAGTGTGTGTGTGTTTGTGTATGTGCTTTCTCACGTTCTGTTTACAGCTGCGAATCATTCCGGACAATCACATTCGCTGACATTAAACCCCAAAAAGCCCAGAGAGAAACAGAGAGAAAGATTCAGCCTTACTGGTACTGCTGCCATTAGAGTGGGCTGCAGGACACTAATGTCTCCTTTGCTTCCCTTCTTGATCTTGGTTGACTATAAAGTGAAAACAACACAAAAAGAGAAACATCTCTGTAAGTTTAATTCATCTCAACCCAACTCCCACAGTGCAGCACATCTTTTCCATTACGTGATTCTGGTGTTTCAGCATTTTCTCCGATGACATTATTTGACATCAAAATGCTCCAATAATGCTTTTTTAAGGATATTACCTTTAGTGTAGGGTGTTTTATAGCTGTTTGTGAATGTAAAAGGATCAAAGTGCACAATAAATGGAGTTATTTTATAATAAAAGAAAGGAATAATGTCAGTCTAAGGTCTTCATTGGCTGCCGTGAACAAATTCTACTTTGACCCGCCCTCAAACACTGTATTTGTTGGGGATACTAAAAGAGTTGGGTTTGTGTTGTCGACAAAAGACGTTTCATTTTTCATTTTATTTCTGACACGGGCTGTAAGCGGACAACTACAACAGACTGGGGCGTCTGAAAGGCGGAAAAAGAGAAACTTGGTGATTGAACCGTTTTAGACACTGTGAGAAAATGCTCCAGTGTATATAATGAGAAAATTAAAGTGTTTTTTGACCTTGGATGCACAAACCAATTGTAGGAGATCTCAGAACAAAAATGAGTAGCCTTTAAAATAGCATTAAGGGGCACTTTAAATGCTTGATTGTGACATCAGAGAGACAGAGAGCACTTTGATGAACTGACTAACATCATAGGCCAGTGTTTTGACTTTCAGAATGTACACAGTACATAGGTTATTACCTGGTCTGAGAGAGTTTGTGGAGAAGAGTAGCCGATTCTACAGCCGTGAGCAAAACACACCATCTCAGCGCTCAACTCTAACACATGAGCCAGTGGAAGGTAGCCAATGTATGTGTCATCCGCACTGCAAAAACAAAAACCTGTCTGTTTAATATAAATATCAGGTTTTAAATTTAATTACATTTTTTTTTATATCTAAACATACAGTATCTAGTTAGTCAGACTGCTATTCTGTTAATCATCAGGCCTATTCTACACATCTTGTATAAAAAAATAAAATAGAATAATAACAGAAAAGTGTTTTTTTAATGATACTACAATGAACTTTTACTTGAACTTGATCATTATGAAATCTACACTATACTGTTCACCTTTTATTAAGCAAAAATTAATTAAAATTGATCAAAAGTGACTTTAAATATATTTCTAATGTTTCAAATATTTCTGTTCGTTGAACTTTCTATTTATTATTATTATTTTTTTATATTTCACAAAATTATGAAGCAGTTTTCAACATTGATGATAATAACAAATATTTCTTGATCATCAAATAATCATCTTAAAATGATTTCTGAAGGATCGTGTGACACTGAAGACTGGATTAATGGCTTTTGAAAAAGGAGGACCACATTTACATCTAAATGTAAATTATTTTATATAGACATATCTTTTTCCAAACAATAAAAAAGTTGGTGACACTTTACAATAAGGTTTTATTAGTAAACTACTCAAGTTAACATCAATTAAGAATGAACAATACTTCTGCAGCATTTATTAATCTTAGTTAATGTTAATTTTAACATTTAGTCACACATTATTAAAATCAAGTTGTATTTGTTAACATTAGGTAATGCACTAACATGAACAAACAATGAACAGCTGGATTTTTAACGAACATTAATGAAGATTAATAAATACTGTAACAAATGTATTGCTCATTGTTAGTTAATACATTATCTAATGTTAACAAATTTGTTAAGTGTAACCAGAAAGTTAATTCTTTTATTTTATTTAGCCTCATAAAAGTTTTGTTTTTTTGCTGAGTACTCAAGATGTGTTAAACAGATACACTGTAAGGCTATAAGATGTATGTGACATTTATAATATGCAGTGCATGGCACAGAAATCCACACAGACCCATAAATGTCACTGTTTTCTCTCTTTCTCACTCTCTGTTTATTCTATCCATAGGGAACGATTGGTTTTCTAGGAAACACTGATAAACATACAACATCCACAAACACATCAGTGAATGCACAATACTGCATGTGCACAGTTAATGACAAGACATGACAGATCGCAGGATGTTAGCATGGATATGTTTCCAAACCCAAGGTTGGGAATCCTCTCTGCCATGCCAGTGATTCCGGCAATGATATTTCCGTGAGAGATCATGACTCCTTTTGGCACTCCAGTGGAGCCGCTGGTGTACATGATCACTGCCACATCAGCGGCACGCGGAGACTGTCTCTGCCTCGACGCTGTGGACACATCAGAAGAAGTTACTACCAATGTTTAATTAGTTATTCTATTAATCACAAGCATTCCAATTAGAATGCATTATATCTGGCTTTAGAACAGAACAGAGCTTTGATCTCCTCAATGCTTATTAGTTGTGACATCATAGAGTAGAGCTTTAATCTCATAACTGTAAAATCAAAGACCAGACCTTTGTACTCTTGAGTGTTTAATTATAACATCACAGAGCTTTGCCTTGTCTTGAGTGTGTAAATGTAAGAACATTATTTGACTAATTCCTTACTTTACCTGTCCAGCAAAATAAAATCAGTGTTTTATTCAGAATTCATTCCATTTTAACATATTATTATTACAGTTTCCACTAGAGCCAGACCGATATATCAGCCGATGTTAGGCATTTTCCAAACTATCGGTATCGGCAGTTATAATGGCCGATAAATGAATATTTCAAAAATAAAATAAAAACGGACGAAACACGCTTGAACCATGTCATGAGTGTTGGAGTTGTATAGTTTGTCCACCAGAGGGCACTCTACACCGTTCCTGTTGGCAACACTCGTTGAGTTGGGCACGATACATACATTGCTTGAATAACAATTAAAAGAACATCCCCATCAGTTCTCTTAACTCAAATAATGTCCAGTTTTGTTGCTGTTAAATAAGCCGAGAGTGAAGCGGAGATAGCTAGTAATAGTTACGTTACGTTGTTACAGTGTAGTTGACTGACTGCCCTTTCAACTTTTGACAATGTGACTGAAGTATTTCTTTAATAGCGCGTGACAGTTATAGCAATGAGACGCATCATCTCTCCTTGGCCTGTTATATTGAAAATGTATGTTTTACAATTTGCAGTATGACGTAATCCATTGCTAAATTATGGCTCATTATAGACTAGCTAACCACAAAGCTAGCTAATGCCACTATCATCAGTCTGTTCTGTTGTGACAATAAAAGAAATTAAGCTTCTTTTTAAAACGCAATATCATATTATTTTAGTTAAAACTCATAAATAACTACAAATAACTAATGTTAGGGAAAACTGTTCATGTTTTATTGCGCGTATCTCAAATAAATAAATAAATAAATAAATAAATAAATAAATATCGGCCGATATATCGGAATATCGGATTTTAAAACCAAAAAATATTTGCATCAGCATCGGCCTTCAAAATCCTTTATCGGTCGGGCTCTAGTTTCCACACATGTTGACTCATGAATTTAAATGAGAGTTCAAGACAATTCAATATTTTAGATATGAGAATAACAAAAAACATGTACAGTATATTCACTAAAGCAATTTCTATGACTCAATTTTCATGACATTTAACATGTTATTAAGTTTTCCAGGCCAGTTTTTATTCTGACTGTCTTTTTAAAGGAATTTGTTTGTTAATGACATGCCAGCTTCTATGGCTTTTGTGGTTAAAACAAACTTGAGTTATAATACATTTTAAATAAAATGTGTTCAATCTCATGTCAATCAAGGAGATGTTTTTTTTTTTAGTAATTTTAGTACTTACAACAATATTTTTATATCAATTAGTTTTTATCTAAAGTTTAAGCTTTTCACGTTTAAGTTTTTCATCAAATATTTATATTTTATTTCAGTTTTATTTCAATTAAACGACTAACAAAGTGATTTTTAATAGTTTTGGCAAATAAAAACTACACTGGTTTGAAACTACTATTATTTGGTGAAAAACACATACAGTAACACTGCATATGAGGGGAGGATAGGTTGTAAACTTTAATTTATAGTTGTTTGTATAAGTATATTGATAAAGACTACCAAAGTACAAATATAGTTGTATGTGTGAATGAATGAAATAAGACAAGAACAGGAAGTGGGGGTGAAATGTCAGTAGCAGAATAGAACATTTTAGCTTTGAAAATGAGAGTGCCATTTGAGCCGTTCCAAGATTTTAGAACCATAAATGTGGAACATGGGAATCGAGTGTGTACATTTGTGTGCCTGAGTGTGTTTTAAGGGGCCACTGTGATTTAGCATTAGCACGCTGACACAGAACAGAGCGAATGTCATGTAGAGCCGAAGGAGGAAGATCAGCTCAATGTCATGTGAAGTCTGTGGCAGTGTGAGAAAACATGACCCGACACACACACATACACACTCTCCAGTGTGTGACGATGACTACTACTACCAGCTGTTGAGGGCTTCACAGAGAACTATAATGGAGGAAGTAAACGGCAGAGCAAAAGAGTCAGGGACACCCTCGACCCTGGCCTTAATTTGACACAGATGGAGGATTTCTCATTCACATGACCTGAAGCGACCTCATACACACACACACACACACACACACTAGTACCATTCTCAGGAAGGGCCCCAAGTCTCTTCACAGCCGCCATGCTGTGGACACTGATGCCTCGTGGGTATTCAGAGCCGCTGTTGAGCTTATCGTCAACTATGATGATGTGTCGTAATCTCGGGACCTCCAGCAAAATGTCCTTTGAGCCAAAATACAGACAAAAACATTAGTGCATGTATTTAACTGCCATAACGTGATGTATTTCAGAACAAAATATATTGTAATATTCAGTTGGAGGGATATGATTTATCTATTGGGATTTGGTTGGGTCATGTAAAGTAGCCTGTGATATACCCATGCGGTCTTAGTTAAGTCCAAGGTGTCTAAGTTTGGCTAGTTAGCCCCTGCTGGAAGATGCTAACTACTTTATCCTTTGCCAGCAACATACTGGATTTAGTTACATTAGATGTTTTTTAAGTCATATTTGATCTGAGTAAAATCAGTTAGATTACTACATAAACGCATTGTTAGTCAGGTTGTTGATTGCAGGAACTGCAGTCCAGAGTGTCCGATCACCTTGAGTTTGGTTTCCAGAAGGTCTTTGCTTGTGATGATGTGGGAAACTTCAGTTTCATTGAGTCCATGAGCAATAGCAGGACCTCCCAGAGTAGAGTAAAGCGTTACCACTGTAAAACACACATACACACACATGATGGGTCTTGTTTTTATAGGGAGTTTAAAGAGACATCATGATTTTATACTTTACAAACCATATATTATATCCACTATCCCTAAACCTAACCATCACAGAAAACTTTCTGCAATTTTACAATTTCAAAAAACATCATGTATTATGATTTATAGGCTGTTTTCCTCATGGGGACAAAAAATGTTCCTGTGAGGACAAGGAATTTGGAGATTACCATCTTTGTGGGGACGTTTTGTGAACCCCACCTACTAGGGATGCACCGATGTGAAAATTTTGGCCTATACCGATAACCGATAATTCTTTATATTTGAAAGCCGATAACCGATATATCGGCTGATAAATTTAAATCCAAATTTTTATCTAATTTTGAGAGCCTGATTACAAAAACAAAATTCTCACAATTAAATCCACGTCCCAAGCACACAATTATAACGATGTTCTCATTATAGTGTTGTATAGCCGATATGACAGATTTGAGCTGCACATGTTGTACCGAACCGTATTTTAATTTTTTGAAGAGATTTCAATCACATTTCAAGAAATTCAAAAACAAACAGTGCTCAACAAGTGTCTCAGCTGAAGGGAATAATACATTATTTATCGGCTTTAATATATCGGACACATTTTCTTATTAGGCCGATAATGATATGCTGGCTGATATATCGTGCATCCCTACCACCTACCCACACGCACACATCCACACCCTCTACTCTACAGAGAGACAGCATTTATTTGAAATCTTTTATAACATTATCTTTTATAACTTTCTATATTAATTTAAAAAAAATTCTCACTGTCTCCCAAACATTTGGATAGCAATATATATCCATAATAACATTCAATTGTATATATAAAACACACACACACACTGTACAAACTTTCCCCTTAAGTTTGCGCATGCAGTTGTGTAACTGTGTCACTTGTCAGTAGCAGCAGCACGCATGGCTGTGAAAAGTTCAGGATGAGGGCAAACAAGCACAAGCCTGAACACACACACACACGCACAAACACAGAGTTAACAAAGCTAATCATGCACATATTAATAAATATAAATATATGCACATTTTTGCACATGACAAACATATATGAAACAGTCCATGTGCCTTTATTTTTGAGCTCATCCACAGACATAAACACAAACTGACAAAAGCACACTGAGGACATAGGGGTTCCGTGACATCATCAGTCTGCGTCACTGCCTGAGGGCGCGACACTTCAGCCGTGAGACACAAACAGAAAAGAGATCACCACGGAAACATCAACAGGCACACACATGCAAATAAGCTTAAATGAGTAAGAGCACACACACACACACAATTATCTAACATAAACACATGAAACAATTCATGTTTGCAAAATATGAACACACAGCTTCTCTCTCACACACACTTTTGTCACATGATGTCACACACACACATACACACACGTAGGCCGGATGACAACAAGTACGTGAGCATCTGATGTTGACAGGAACACCAGGGTACAGAAGTCAGCCAAATAGACATAGAAGACTCTCTCTCTCTCTCTCTGTGTGTGTGTGTGTGTGTGAGACATTATGTGACAGACACAAAGGGGTGAATCTCATGATAACATGTTTATGAACAATAAACAAAAAACAATAAAATAAACAAATAATATATACATTTATATTAGTTTATAAATTATTTATATTATATACACACACACATACATCATTTACTGCATTATATACATATATATATATACATACATATATATAATCTGTGTGATATAATATGCATTATATTATGTATACATACACATTTAATGTATTTTATTTATATATATATATATATATATTTTTCACACACACAGTGTGAGAGAGAGAGTGAGTGAGTGTATGTTTGAGTGAGTCCTTGTGGGGACATCCTTATTTTTGTGTTTGTGTGTGAGTGTGTGTTTAGGGATGACCCCAGACCTGAGAAAAATCACGTCGCCATCAGACACTTTAGAGGAAAATGAGAGGAAAAAAAGGAAGGCAAGGAAAAGAGAAAGGAGGAGGAGGAGGAGGGTGAGTTTATATAACAGAAGTGCAATGAGGACAATCTGACCTCCATACAAAACACACACACACAAACCTCTGTATTTGCCCCATGTGTGTCATAAACACAAATATGAAACAAATGTGGCTGGCTGGTCGAGATGTACATGTTAACATGAACAACAGTGTCACATTGTGTGCCTATATACCATGTTGTGTTTTCTATGATGCATTGACTAAAGCTTATAAATTCTGTTATTTCTGTAGAAAATGCCAGCTTTGACAATGTCAGGGCACTATGGGAAGTTGCTTGGGTGTTTCTATGCAGATTTGCAATTTTCTAAAAGATTTGAAGCATGTTGCAATGAGTTTGCACAATCTAAAGTATGTGCTTAAAAAAAACATTTTTAATCCTCAAAGAATCCTATAAAAACTCAAGAAACATAAACTAAAAAGCGGTTCTTGATAAGAAGGCTCTTTGCTGAACCCAAGAGGTGTTTTTTGTTTTATACGTGTTCGTGTGACTCACATGGGAAGTTGTACATGAAACAGGCTTGTGCCGCTATGATCCACTCCTCTCTGGTCTCGCAGATGATGGCAATGTTTTTCAGAGGTTTCTGTCCTAGAGAAGCCAAACCGCTCCCGAACGCTCTCACTTCTTTATACACCTGGTCATACGACATCCAGCGATACTCTCCCAAAATCACCTGCAGAGAAACAGAGAGTTTGAAAGGGTTATTAGTCCACTGGTCACCTGTTCAGTCCTTCAACTGGTTTCCCCCTGCCACTTTGACAGATCAACAGCTCCTCCTATTGGTTCATTTTATAGTCACAGTTTATACATACGTCAGCATTTCAGAAGCATTTTGTTTAATCTTTCTCCAAACGTTTGGTTACAATGTTAGCCATGGGTTTTAAAAATCATAACATCACTTGTGTCCCACATTATGCACTATGCACTTTACATGCACTGTGTAGTGTATGAACTTCATAAGGTTATTTTGGTTCATAATCAGAGTTTGAATGCTCCTCCCTCTCTGCTACATAACTAAAACGTCTCGGGTTATGACTATAACCCTTGTTCCCTGAGAAGGGAACGAGACACTGCGTCGATAAAATCGACTCTTTGGGGACGCTCCCTAAGCGTGCGCCTCTGAAGTATGAATGAAACTAATCCAATCCTGATTGGTGTTGCGTCGTGACGTAACATGTGACGGCATACCCGGAAGTATAAAAGTGACGCTGTCACAACACACACTAGCCTCGCGATGAAGCAAGACGCTCAAGGGTCTGAAAAGGGGGCGTGGCAACACGACGCAGTGTCTCGTTCCCTTCTCAGGGAACAAGGGTTATAGTCATAACCCGAGACGTTCCCTATCGAGGGAACTCAACACTGCGTCGATAAAATCGACTCTTTGGGGAACGAGTACCCACTAGGCCACGCACCGAACAGACCCGCCCCAGAGTGAAACTGATTAGGCACTCAGCAAGGGCCGAGTACGTGTGCACCGGGCGTACTGGGAAGGCTGAGACTGTAAAACCTGATGAAAGTATGCGGGGTAGCCCAGCCGGCTGCCTCACAAATCTCCTGCAGAGGTACTCCCGACAGAAGGGCCCTAGAGGAAGCCATGCCTCTAGTCGAGTGAGCCCTTAAGGCCAAAGGTGAAGGAACCCCACGCACCTTGTAAGCCTCAGTAATAGCCTGGACAATCCAGTTACTTATAGTTTGTTTGGTCGCCGGGAGCCCCCTCTTAGGTGACCCAAAGCATACTAACAACTGGTCAGATCTTCTCCAAGAAGCAGACTTTTCCAAGTATACACTCAAAGCTCTGACGGGGCAGAGCAAGTGAAGCCTCTCTTCTCCCGCCGACACATGAGGTGGAGGATGGAATGCCTGAAGGACTACAGAGCGAGCCGTACTCGAAGGAACTTTAGGCACGTAGCCCGGACTCGGGTGCAAAAAGGCCTTTACTTTGCCAGGGGCAAACTCCAAGCAAGCTGGCGTTACCGCCAGGGCCTGGAGATCTCCCACCCTCTTAAGAGAGGTAATCGCTAAGAGAAAGACCATTTTCAACGTTAAGTCCTTAGGCGAAGCCGACTCTAAAGGTTCGAAGGGAGCGAGGGACAACCCTTCCAGAACTATTGCCAGATCCCAGGCAGGCACCCTGGACCTGATCGCCGGCCTCATCCTCCAAGCACCACGGAGAAACCTAATGACCAACTGGTGCCTCCCCAGAGGTCCACCATCTACTGGCGCGTGGAAAGCCGAAACGGCAGCCACGTACACCTTAAGAGTGGACGGGGAGAGACCCGCAGAGAAACGATCCTGAAGGAATTCCAGAACTGAAGCCACTGGGCAGTTTACTGGATCCAACCTTCGTTCTCCACACCAAGTGTGAAACACCTTCCACTTGAGGCCATATAATCTCCTGGTAGATGGGGCCCTAGAGCTAAGTATGGTTTCAACCACCTCAGCTGATAAGCCAGCATTTAGGTACTGAACCCCCTCAGAGGCCAGACCCACAGCTTCCACAACTCTGGGCGAGGGTGGAAGATTGTGCCCTCCGCCTGAGACAATAGATCCCTCCTCAGAGGAATCGGCCATGGCGGAGCTATGAGGAGTGATATTATATCCGAGAACCATACTCGTGTCGGCCATCTCGGGGCAACCAGAAGTAGACTGATGCCCTCTTGACGAACCCTCTCCAGGACCCCTGGGAGCAGAGCGATCGGGGGGAAAGCATACAGGCGAAGCCTCGGCCAAGCCTGTACCATGGCATCCAACCCCAGTGGGGCTGGATGTGAGAGGGAGAACCAAAGTGGACAGTGGGACGTCTCTCGAGACGCAAACAGATCCACTTCCATCGGTCCGAACCTCTCCCATATCGACTTCACCACATCCGGATGAAGTCTCCATTCCCCGGGCCTCAGCCCCTGCCTCGACAGGATGTCTGCTCCCCGATTCTGAACCCCTGGGATATACATTGCCCTTATTGACAATATCTTTCCCTGGGACCAAAGGATAATCTGATGCGCCAGTTTGCACAGAGGGCGCGATCTGAGTCCCCCCTGTCGGTTCAGATAGGCCACCACTGACGTATTGTCTGTCCGTATAAGGACGTGGCGACCCTCGATGTCTGGGAGGAAGCTCCTCAAAGCCTTGAATACCGCCATCATCTCCAGGCAATTTATATGCCAAGTGCGATGATGGTCCTGCCACAGACCCCTGGTAAAGCGGCCGTCCATGACCGCGCCCCAGCCCGTAAGGGAGGCGTCTGTCGAAACGGTTTCCCGGCGACATGACACCCCCAACACTGGCCCTTGGGATAGGAACCAAGGCTTCTTCCATATTTGCAGAGACTGAAGGCACTTGCGCGTTACTCTGATCATACGGAACGGATTTCCTTTGGGTGAGAACCCCTTGGTCTTCAACCACCACTGGAGGGGCCTCATGTGAAGGAGGCCCAGAGGAATAATGTTGGATGCCGCTGCCATGAGGCCCAGCATCCTTTGAAAGTGTTTCACAGTGACGGCCTGACCTAGCCTCACCCTGGACACCATCGCCAGAATTGACTCGATACGTGCGGGAGACATACGTGCCTGCATTGTAATCGAGTTCCACACGACTCCCAAAAAGGTCGTGCCCTGGGACGGTTCTAGCACACTCTTCTTCAAATTGAGTCTTAACCCCAATTTTTGAATATGGCCAAGAACGACATCTCGATGCCGAACTGCCATCTCCCGAGACTGGGCCAAAATAAGCCAGTCGTCGAGATAATTCAATACGCGAATCCCCTGAAGTCTCAGTGGAGCAAGGGCCACGTCCATACACTTGGTAAATGTGCGGGGAGAGAGTGCTAGGCCGAACGGAAGAACCCGATATTGGTATGCTTCGCCCCCGAAAGCGAACCTCAGGTACCTCCTGTGACAAGGAAGGATGGAGATGTGAAAATAGGCGTCTTTCAGATCTATCGTGACAAACCAGTCCTCGGATCTGATTTGACTCACGATTGTTGGAATGGTCAACATTCTGAATTTGAACCTTCTCAGAGACCGGTTCAACACCCTGAGATCCAAAATTGGCCTTAACCCCCCATCCTTCTTTGGAACTATAAAGTACCGGCTGTAAAACCCGGACTCCCTGTCTACCGGAAGAACACGTTCTATGGCTCCTTTCGACAGCAGAGTCTGTACTTCTTGTTCCAACACCTGAGCCTGCTCTGGGACCACCGCAGTGAGCACCACCCCAGAGAACTTGGGGGGGCGGTGCGCGAACTGCAGTCTGTACCCAACTCGTATTATCTGCAGGACCCATGGAGATATGTTGGGAAGATGATACCATCCCTCTACAAAATCTGCTAAGGGTACCAGCCTCTCGAGGCTGGCCTCTGGTGTCTTTTCGCTGGAAATTGATGCGGCCCGAAGCGCTGTTAACGGCGGACCTGCATCTTTTCCTAGAGGGCCCCGTTGTGAGAACAACCTCGGTTGTCTCACTGCGGAGGGGGCAGCCCTCTGAAGTCCTGCCTTGGCTAGGACCTCTTTTCCGAAGTCCTCTTAGCCTGAATGACGTCCCTCAGGTCGCCCCTCTGGCTGGAGGACTTCGGTTTTTGGGAGCGTTTCCTCTGTTGCCAAGACCCCGGAGGGGGGGCTCTAGAGGAAACGCTCTCCTTCTGCTCTGCCCTGTGGGAGGAGCTGGCTGATGGCTGGGGCTGATTGCTTTGCCCCCCCCTACTAGATTTGGCCTTCGCTTTCCGGGGGAGGTACTGCTGGAACGCCGCAGATTGTTTTCTCGACTCCTGAAACCTGTCGACAACCGAATTAACGGCGTCGCCGAACAGGCCAGAAGCCGAAAGCGGCGCATCCAGCAGGAAGGACCTATCCTTTTCTTTAATACCGGATAAGTTCAGCCACAGATGCCTCTCCGTGGCCACCATGGCCGCCATAGAGCGGCCAATAGCGCTGGCCGCTTCCCTAGTGGCCCGGAGAGACAAATCTGCGGCCTTCCTCAACTCCGCGACATCTTCAGGAGTAGGCCCCTCCCCCTCATCCAAATCTTTCAGGAGGTCGGCCTGGTATGCCTGCAAAATCGCCATTGAGTGCAGACACGAACCAGCCCGACCCG